CAAAACTAAACTAAAATTAGACGGTGTGTGTGTGTGCATTTCTGGCAAAGTGAGAGGCTAAACTCTGGTGCCTTCAGCTATCCTCAGCTAGAAAACATCACAATCTTAAAACATGAGCTCTACTGTCTATAAAAAATATACACTGAACAGAAATATAAACGCAACATGTAAAGTGTTGGTCCCATGTTTCATGAGCTGAAATAAAAGATCCCAGAAATGTTCCATATGCACAAAAAGCTTATTTCTCTCAAATGTTGTGCACAAATTTGTTTACATCCCTGTTAGTGAGCATTTCTCATTTGCCAAGGTAATCCATCCACCTGACAGATGTGGCATATCAAGAAGCTGATTAAACAGCATGATCATTACACAGGTGCACCTTGTGCTGGGGAAAATAAAAGGGACTCTAAAATGTGCAGTTTTGTCACACAACACAATGCCACAGATGTCTCAAGTTTTGAGGGAGCGTGCAATTGGCATGTTGACTGCAGGAATGTCCACCAGAGCTGTTGCTAGACAATTTAATGTTAATTTCTCTACCATAAGTCGCCACCAACATCATTTTAGAGAATTTGGCAGTACGTCCAACCGGCCTCACAACCGCAGACCACGTTTATGGCGTTGTGTGGGCGAGCAGTTTGCTGATGTCAACGTTGTGAACAGAGTGCCCCATGGTAATTTGAATACACAGAAATACAGTGACGAGATCCTGAGGCCCATTGTGAGGCCCATTTCTTTTAAGGCATCTGTGACCAAGAGATGCATATCTGTATTCCCAGTCATGTGAAATCCATAGACTAGGGCCTAATGAATTTATTTCAATTGACTGATTTCCTCATATGAACTGTAAAACAGTAAAATCTTTGAAATTGTTGCATGTTGCATTTATATTTTTGTTCAGTATATATAAACACTATAAGCACTAGCTATGACTGGTTAAGACAGATTCGTGGTGACGTGGGGAGCAGAAGAATGCACTCACCTACCTGGCATAGTACATTTTTAGCTCTCATGCACACAAACCTCTCCAGTTTCATTAGAAACAAACACATAATAATAATATTTTATTTGAAGTGCTTTTCAAGAAACCCAAAGTCTCAGCTAACTTTATTGCTTCAGTCAAATAATAATCACATCAAACTGTATTACAATCTTTCAGTTCACACAGACGCTTCAGTTTCATAGTGCTTGGATCAGTATCCCCTCCTCACGGAGAGAGGGAGGGAGTCAGAGAAAGAGGGAGAGGAAGAGAGCAGGAGGTGAGACAAATAGCCTACCATTACTGTTCCCTTTTCCTATGATGACGTTATGACTTGCAGTCTGGTGTCAATATAGCCTAACCAGATGAAAATAACCTGTTCCCCTACCCGACCCTCCTCCTCCCGTTGCCTGCTACTGCTGGCCTTTGCAGATTCTGCCATTATGCTCCTGAAGCTGCAGTAATAGCCTACAATAGCGTTCAGCAGCCTTTTCCATTTAGAGTGCCAAGTTATCATACTGATCTGCATGCCAGTTATGATTTTCATATGCACATTTTCGTGGAACAGTTTCATTTCATTTATAATAAAGTCTTCATATCTCAAATTCGTTGTAAATGAAAGAATTATACACATCTAAAAGTAACTTCTACTGCCATTACCAATATGTAAAAAATAGGCTCCATAAAGCCAACAAATAAAAACATTGCAGCCAGCAGGTAGAAAATCACATTGGCAATGCATGGCCTGTCTGCAAGGAACTTGAAACATTGTATCAAATATTAACTTGGGTCCGGCTTCAACATTCTATAAAATATTCTGGGCCCTCAGTTTCCCGCGTCAGTGAGCTCCAGACAGACAGACACAGCTGTAAGCAATTTGCGCAAGGATAAGAAGTAATCAGGTAGGCCTTTATGACATTTCCACTAGATCAGAGCATGACATTTCTTCCCCTTTCATGCTGAGTGGTTATCAAAAGGGAGAGAACTGGAAAGATTTTTCAAATAGGCTACGTTGAGGAACTGTCGTCATTCTCAATGGATGTAAAAACAGACTTTGTTTACTTGCTTTTTGAGGCGAAGAGAAAATTACTTTGAGAAGCTCCACAGTGATGGTGAGTTAAGACAATCAGAAATAGTATCAGATCCCCAAATGGGTACATTTATTGGCCTGCATGGGTACATTTATAAGCATACATTTGCGGGCAGGTCAGGTAGCCTAGGCCTAGTTATATGTGTAATCAGGTGCGTGTCCTTACTCAAGATTGACAGGAGTGCTCCAAACGAAATCAAATCAAATTTGATTTGCCACATGCGCCGAATACAACAGGTGTAGACTTTACAGTGAAATACTTACTACAAGTCCTTAACCAACAATGCAGTTAAGAAGAATTAAGTGTTAAGTAAAAAATTGATAAGTAAAAAATTAAAATAACAAAGAATTAAAGAGCAGCAGTAAAATAAAATAACAGTAGGGAGGCTATATACAGGGTATATACGCGTCCTGGTAATCCGTCAACTTGTAAATTGAATGAAATAAACCAAAACTTTTCCCTCACAAGTGTAGCCTAGGTAAGACTAATAATAATAATAATAATAATAATAATAATAATAATAATAAATATATTGAATGCATTAGCAGAAATTACCATAAACAAACATTGTAGATGAGAAATTATGGTAATTAACAGTAAATGTACTACTGGTAATAAAGGTGTGCCATCCCTGTGGCCTCCGCAATGGATGAATCCACTCAGACGGCTAACAATGGGCTCACAACCACACAATTGAACTGAAGTTTGACTCAAGGCACCTTCTGTTCATTTTGGTTGAGCCAATCTTTCTATTCTTTTCTCCCCATTTCCATCATGTTCAGACTGTCGTCCTCTGTCTTCACCTCCACCTGGGTATTGAGATGCAGCCCATGACTACTCATTTGTGAGGAAAACGGAACAGTGATGTTAGACACTGCTGCTACTCTGTTTATTATCTATGCATAGTCACTTTAACTCTACCCACATGTACATATTACCTCGACTAACCGGTGACCCCCGCACATCGACTCTGTACCGGTACCCCCTGTAAATAGCCTCCCTACTGTTATTTTATTTTACTGCTGCTCTTTAATTATTTTAACACTTTTTTTTCTTTTCTTAAAACTGCATTGTTGGTTAAGGGCTTGTAAGTAAGCATTTCACTGTAAGGTCTACACCTGTTGTATTCGGCACGTGGCAAATAAAATTTGATTTAATTCATGACATTATGTAGAGATTACAGAAAATAATTTCAAAGCAAAATGGAATAGACAGGCCTAGTTTATTGCATACCAGCAGAGGGCACAATTTGTCCACTGAAAGTGTGCCATAATGTCTGTATATCAATCAATATCATTAAAAAGACAGTGAAATCTTATTTTATTGCATAGTCGAGACTTCAGTCAACGCTTTAGATTAAAATATTGCCATTTCCATATGAAAACAGTTGATAAGATCAAGCTTGCATATCAAAATCCCTGTATGACATGATAAACCTAAAAAAAAACACACAAATGCAAGATCACGTCCTAAATTGGGTCCATATTCCTCACTCCATTCCTCCAGGTAGTGCAATCAGCATAGGTACAGTAACAACAATTAGAGTCCCTGCAGTAATTATACTCTTCAAAGAAAGAATTCATACAAAAGAGATGAATTGCAGCTGTGGGACAGCTGTGATGCACTATTTTATATCAAAGCTTTGAAGAGTATTAAAAGCTGCATTTACAAATATGCCTAGGTGTATGGATAGGAATAAGATAAGTTATCGAATTAAGTTATCGAATTATAAATCCACACACTTGAAAATAAACGAAATAGCTACTAATACAATATCTTAGTAGCCTGAGATACATTTTGGGAGGAGGACAAAGGCCACCTGTGAAAAATATGACCAGATTCACAGAGCTGGATCTATGCATGTATTGGTCATAATAAAACATCACATTTTAAATGTCTGAATGGTGCAATCAGTGTAACCACGGCAAGATTTGGTGCATGAGAATCCAATGTGGGAGAGTGACAATGTGATACCACTTCCGACAACAGTGGTAAAGTAACATTCTCGGCCTCAAATACTGATAAATGGGGCTGGAAATTGCTAGGGACCTCCCTCATGATACAATATAATCACGATACTTAGGTGCCAATACAATATGTATTGCGATTCAATACTGCGATTTGATGTTCCAAACATATTGCTCACTATGTCTGCTGCAGAGAGACAAGAGAAAAGTTTTGATCAGTCAGGGAAATAAGTGCTGAAAACATGTTGGCTCACTATTTAAAAAGAAGACAGAACACTGGATGAAAAATACTGGAGTTTTGGCGCAGGTACAGCAGACTTTTTAAAAACACAAATCGATACTCTGAGTCAAATATCAATATAATAGTGTCAAAAAATATTGCAATATGTAACTATCGACCCCCCCCCTCTCCCTCCCCCTCCATCACTTCTGGTATAACTTTTTCCCAACAAGGTGGTTGGGAAAATGTACCACTACCCTAATAATCCCACCAAAGGATAATCAATGAATTGACTTAAAACAAAAACTTGAATCAATCAAATCACCACCACCAATGTATAGAGCAACCGGTAAGAAATAGCCTACCAACAGAGGTGGTAGTAGTAGTAGATCAAAATGAGTAAACTAATAGCACTCATACGCAAAACGTATAGATCACACATTGTGTATCAGTAACTGGTTGGTCAGTAAGGTTTCCCAATCAACATTTCCCAATCAACAGCTGCCTTCACTGAGGGTCCTAAAAACTCAGAGCTCAATATCACACAACCAATCAATCAACTACAAACACTGATTTAGAAAACATTCCCGAACTGTGAAAAACTATTATAAAAGACAAAGTGAAGACGCTTTAGTCAGTATCATTCATACAGAGGTGCATTTCTAAGATTTGACCAGCTTGAACCCTTGGCCAGTGTCAAGTATGGCTGTGGGGAACCAGTTGAGTTTGACTCTGAGGCATTATAGACAGATGCTGCAGAGACAGAGCAGATTCAGCCCACAGAACCAGGACACCAACTGGGGCACGGGGTAGGTCATCCTGGGGAAGTACATCCTCCAGTGTTTCGTGATGTCACTTCCTGTGGGCAGGTGCAGCGTGTAGTCGATCCAGTGCTTGGAGATGCCATAGATGGCGGTGACCGTCCTTCCTCTCTCCGACAACTGGACGGCGCTGTCCGAGTTGCAGTTATACTCTGCCCACTGCGAGGTGAAGTCTCCGAGCTGGGGGCGTCCTGGAGCTCGACATCCGTGGCGCGGGCTATCTGGGGCCCCCTGGGCGGCCATGCATAGCCCCTCCACTGTCCTCACCTCCTTTTTGAGAGCGTTTTCAGAGAGTTAAAGTAACTAAGCTTCATAGAATGACAGTTTTGAGTTAAAATGTCACGTGCACAAGTACAATGAAATGCCTTTCTTGCAAGCTCTAAACCCAACAATGCAGTAATCAATATCAACACAATAAATAAAAATACGAAGTAAGAAGAACACAAGTAAGGGGCAGTTCCAATACCATATTTACAATATGCAGGGATACTGGAATGATTAAACTTCTCAGTGATTTGTACCTGCCAGTGCCCACTCCCCGCTGCGGTGGGTATGCCCACTGTAGAACACTACGTAGGTGTTGTGGTGAGGCCCATCGGCCGTGTGGAGCTCCAAAAAGACCTTGAGCTTCACCTGTAGGGCTTCCTGAGTCACCTCGCCGGTTGACTAGTCACAGCCGAACGTTTCTAACATGTGGTGGGAGAAGAAACTCTGTATGCTGTTCAACATGCCCGTGGAGCGCATATTCAACAGATGTACTTGGTCCGGAGGTAACAGGGTGGGCTGCCCATCAGGACTGCAAGGGAGACCCGGTGAAGAGAGAGGGAGCAAAAATATGAAGAGAACGGGAGAAGTGAGGATGAGAGCAGCAAGGGTAAGTGAAATTAAGGACTGTGTGTAGGAACAGTATAGTATAGATTGATATGTATATATATATATATACTACCGTTCAAAAGTTTGGGGTCACTTAGAAATATATATATATACATGAAATGAGTTTGAATAGGAAATATAGCAAAATGAATAGGAAACGTAGTCATTGACAAGGTTAGAAATAATGATTTTTAATTGAAATAATAATTGTTTCCTTCAAACTTTGCTTTCGTCAAAGAATCCTCCATTTGCAGCAATTGCAGACCTTTGGCATTCTAGTTGTCAATTTGTTGAGGTAATCTGAAGAGATTTCACCCCATACTTCCTAAAGCACCTCCCACAAATTGTATTGGCTTGATGGGCACTTCTTACGTACGATACAGTCAAGCTGCTCCCACAACAGCTCAATAGGGTTGAGATCCGGTGACTGTGCTGGCCACTCCATTATAGACAGAATACCAGCTGACTGCTTCTTCCCTAAATAGTTATTGCATAGTTTGGAGCTGTGCTTTGGGTCATTGTCCTGTTGTAGGAGGAAATTGGCTCCAATCAAGCGCCGTCCACAGGGTATGGCATGGCGTTGCAAAATGGAGTGATAGCCTTCCTTCTTCAAGATCCCTTTTACCCTGTACAAATCTCCCACTTTACCGCCGCCAAAGCACCCCCAGACCATCACATTGCCTCCACCATGCTTGACAGACGGCATCAAGGGGCGGCAGGTAGCTTAGTGGTTAAGAGCGTTGTGCCAGTAACCGAAAGGTCGCTGGTTCTAATCCCCGAGCCGACTAGGTGAAAAATCTGTTGATGTGCCCTTGAGCAAGGCACTTAACCCTAATTGCTCCTGTAAGTCGCTCTGGATGAGAGTGTCTGCTAAATGACACCAAAAAAGTGTTTATTTTTTTTATTCAATCACTCCTCCAGCATCTTTTAATTTGGTCTGCGTCACACAAATGTTCTTCTTTGTGATCCGAACACCTCAAACTTCGATTTGTCTGTCCATAACACTTTTTTCCAATCTTCCTCTGTCCAGTGTCTGTGTTCTTTGCCCATCTTAATCTTTTCTTTTTATTATTGGCCAGTCTGAGATATGGCTTTTTCTTTGCAACTCTGCCTAGAAGGTCAGCATCCCAGAGTCGCCTCTTCACGGTTGAGACTGGTGTTTTGCAGGTATTATTTAATGAAGCTGCCAGTTGAGGACCTGTGAGGCGTCTGTTTCTCAAACTAGACACTAATGTATTTGTCCTCTTGCTAAGATGTGCACCGGGGCCTCCCACTCCTCTTTCTATTCTGGTTAGAGCCAGTTGGCACTGTTCTGTGAAGGGAGTAGTATACAGCGTTGTACGACATCTTCAGTTTCTCTGCAATTTCTCGCATGGAATAGCCTTCATTTCTCAGAATAGACTGACGAGTTTTAGAAGAAAGTTATTTGTTTCTGGCCATTTTGATCCTGTAATCGAACCCACAATTGCTGATGCTCCAGATACTCAACCAGTCTCAAGAACGCCTGTTATTTTGCTTCGTTAATCAGCACAACAGTTTTCAACTGTGCTAACATAATTGCAAAAGGGTTTTCTAATGATCAATTAGCCTTTTAAAATGATAAACTTGTATTAGCAAACACAACGTGCCATTGGAACACAGGACTGATGGTTGCTGATAATGGGCCTCTGTACGCCTATGTAGATATTCCATAAAAAATCTGCCGTTTCCAGCTACAATAGCCATTTACAACATTAACAATGTCTACACTGTATTTCTGATCAATTTGATGTTATTTTAATGGACAAAATAAATGCTTTTCTTTCGAAAACAAGGAAATGTCTAAGTGACCCCAAACTTTGAACGGTAGTGTATATAATTGGAGCCTATTTCTTCCTATTCCCAAAAATAAGTGGTAAGCCTACCTGTTTGACAGACACAATTATGCTATCCATAGATGTCGGTATAGCCAAATACTCCAATACTGTCGCATGCACTGATTAAATACCTGGGAAGGGCTTGGTGTGTTTGGTTAAAACCAGGGCTCGAATTGAATGAGGGTATAACATACCCTTCGTTAAAGAAAAGGGCAAAAAGGATATCTATTGTTTGCTTTATATTTTGAAATAAATGCATAAAACTTATCCAAATTATATCAAGCGTTCTATAACTATGCTTAACTCCGCGATGCCTCATGGTAGAAACAAGCTCTAAAATGCCCGCGAAAGACGTGACTGATGCATTTGGGGATATATTGATTCCTCTCTATGACATTCTGAAGCTGAGCTGCAGCCTATAATATTCAGGGAGATTTTTTTTAAAGGACTTTGCTATTCTATCCCTATTAATTGAGTTTCTCTCTTTCTGAAAAGAGAAGATGTTTGTTTAAACCCAGGCAGCTTTTAGGGAAGCACTTCTGTTGTTGGGTTATACAACGGACAAGAATCCAGCAGTAGCCAACACTTTTCTGCGTTGGTAGAGCCTCTGTCTGGGTGGAAAGGTAACTTTTGAAAGTGCCATGCTTAGATTCATAAGGCCGTCTATGATTTAATTATTTGCAAACAAGACACTCTGGTTTGACATTGAGAAATATGGGGGGGGGGGGGGGGGGGGGTTATATATTCAAATTACAATGATCTTGCAAAAGAGGTCAAACCTACTACACCTTGCTATATTTATGCTCTAATAAATATGCTCAATAAAATGACTCAAGTTTACCTCAGTCATGTAGAAAAAAACTGAATGGAGGACTCAATAATCAGACATGAAAGCTGCATTTACATTCATTTATAAAATAGAAAAACAACCATGCACACATTGTCCTGCAATTGTCGAAATCCTTAATACTGAAAATGAAGCTATTTATGAAAGTAATGGACTCAAACTCTTGGAAGACAGATACAAAGATGAGTGTATCACTAATTGCTTACTGGTACAATTCACAACCTTCAAGAAAATGATTTGTAATGACAAAAGTCTATTTTCTGTTACTAAAGATAAATAGTGTAAAGTACATCAAACATGAACTGACCAGAAAGTTATCTAGTTACAACGGATGTATAGCAATATGTAATTATTATAAATGACAAATGACATCATTTAAACAAAACACATTGTTCTTAAGAGTAAAACATTGAGCCAATTACACTTTTAAGTGGTAGCTGGTAGCTCATTTGGAACAGTTGCACATAACACAATCATTTGGCAAAGAAAGCCCATTGTATGCTGCCAAGTGAAAAGTGTGAGTTATCCAACATATGGGCATGAGAATCAGGACTGCAAAAACATCACCGGGGATAAGTAAGAAGGCACCTTTAGGATTCCAGGTAAACTGATGTGAGAACATTAAGGGTACAGGTACATCATACTGGTTATATTAATAAGTGTCCATCCCAAATGGCACCCTATTCCCTACATAGTGCACTTGTTTTGACCAGGGTCCATAGGGAATAGGGTGCCATTTTGGGCGCAACCCTATACCCCCCCATGACATGAATCACATGACTCATGGCAGCTGAGATATTAGTCTACTATTTATGAAGTGCCACACACAAGTACATTACAACAAACACTCATGCACACTCAACCTACATATCTCCACACACACACGAAAGGAAATATCATTACAAATATGTAACAAATGAGTATTTGGGTGCTAGAGTCATTGAAAACAACACAGAAACCTTCCCCATAAGGATACAGTATAGGATACACCTGGCTATTGCTAAAATGCACTTTGATGAGATCAAAGATTGCATGACTAATGAGACAGCATGGTATTAGTGCAAAACCTCATTGAGGCGAATCTTTTGGAATTGTATTAGAGTTCATAAGATCATTTTGACAATTGTTTGGAGTTAATACTTTTTTTTAAGCAGAGCACACAAGGGATAGTCAAATTAACTTACTGATGCAATGAATGACTCAGTATTTGTTGATACTATGAACCTATGAATGAAAAAGCCAATATATAAAAATAAACAGTAACTGTGTGACTGACAGCTTGAGCTGGTGTCTCTTAGGTCGATATATGTTTCACTTCAGTGGACATAGTGTGGTCGGTATAATTTCTATAGTTACCAGTACCTATAGAGAAGCCAACAGTTACCTATAAAGAAGGCAAGACATCACTACAGACCTATTATTGATCAGATCTTTTTTTTTTTTTTTACAAATAAGGTTGAATTGAAAAAATGCTAAATCTTCTGGGTTACAACATTGAAGGTAAACTCACATCTGTGCAGATGTACACAGCAGTTTCTTCACACCAGCAGAGAAAAAAGAGCAAGGACTATTTTGCAACACTCGTACCATAGTACACTATGAAAAAAACACGGTTAACAGTTTCACATCAGTAAAAGTAACTACATACGCCTACCTTAAGGTTCTGAAAATGCTACAAATATCACTAATTGTTATGAATCAGCCGAAAAGATGCTGAAATAAAAATGGCATTGCCACACATCGTGTTGGACAAAACCAGTGTGTTCATAAGAACAAAATCACATAGTTTGCTGAGAGTCCAACAATGTTTTTTTCTTTCTTTTTTGGAAAACTAAATGCACACCAAGAATTAGAGGAAGTCTAGCCTCGCCTGATTTACAGAAGCAAGCATATCTTTCCATCTGAATCTTTTCACTCTAACCAAACCTGACAAACCTCTGTGGTATCAGTCTCTTTAAGAGGGATTTAAAGTCAGCTGCTTGCTGGCACTGAAGCACATTAACTGTTTAACTACAACAACAAAAAGCCTTTGAAAGAGTAAAGATTGGTTGTCTTCTGTTAGTAGAGCGTGACAGAACACAAAGATGGGATGAAACGCAAGGGGCAGGCTACCTCTGCGTCTATCCTGAGGGCATTCAGCTACCATGTTTTTATTTTTGAAAACCTTTCATTTATTGAAGTGTGTGTGCGTGTGTATGTGTAGTTGTGTTGAGAGACTAACCATGTAAGATATTGAATAATAAACGACTGACTTCTGTAAACGTCTTTTTCTTTCACTCTGTGCAAACTGCATTGCTTAGTTAAGGGAAAAGAGAAGGAGTGTGAGAAGAATGCAGCATGTTAATTTGGCAGCGCAGCAGTTGGGGACAGAGACAGCCAGTCTCAGATTGCTCCCCATCCCCTCCATGTTGCATGTCTGAAGGCTCTGGTTTGGTATAAGCAGTGCAGTGGCAAAGCTACAACCATATTGCTTCCTCCTTACAGATCTGCAAACATTGAAAGGTTAGGGCCAAGGGGAGCGTTAGGGATTGAATAAGGACTTCTGAGAGAGAGAAGAGAGTAGCTAGTAGGGTTTTAGCTGGTCTAGCTCAGCTCTGCAGCAGTATGGGGTCCTCCAGCTCGTGTAGGAAGGGCACCGAACTGCTCTGACTCTCTCCTGAATCCGAGTCGTAGGGCGTGTCTGGCAGCTCTGTGAAGCCCCACGCCAGCTGGTCGTCCTCGAAGACGGAGTGTGCCTGAACCAGCACGTCTGTGTAGTCCTCCTCCTCGGGGGATTGGAAGTCCTGAGGGATGTAGAGCATCTCGGGGTAGTTACGGCTGACCAGGTCGCTAGTGGTGGTCAGGGACACCTTGCGGAAGGCTATGAGGTGCATGTGAGAGAACTTGATGTACTTGCAGCGCCTGAAGCCCAGTGACTCCACTGCCACACGCCAGCTGCGCATCATGAGTGCGTGGCGTTTCTGGTGGGAGGAGTCGGGGGTGATGATAAGCAGCAGGCCATGCAGTTCCAGCAGCTCGTGGGCCTTTTTGCAGCAGATCCAGCGCTGGTAAGGCGAGGGGAAGTAGGAAAGGAGCAGTGAGAAGACCACCACGTTGAAGAGCTGGGCGGGCAGTGCGTCGATGGGGCTACACAGCTGTCTCAGGAAGGCTTCCACCGCGTCGCCAGCCAGCTGCAGGGGCTGCTGGAGCTGGAGGTTAAGGAAGTCACACTTGTATACACTCTGGGGGGGAGAGAGCAGAAACAGATACTTTAGAGTAGCTTCCAAAGGTCTACCATGTTGCAGTATTTTAGACCCACATCTAAAACCCACTGTTCTTATACCATTTGGTTACCCAAATCACTCTAGGCTAATATTCTGCCAGTTCCTTCAAAGCAGGTCAGGTTTCATTGCAGTCAAGTGTTGACACTCACTGTCAAGGGACAGCATTGTTACGTGGTCTGATATTCACACAATAAACTAGCTACCCGTCTGGAAAACCCCTGACATTTTGTCACGGCCGTAGATGAGTGAGTAAGACAGTAAGAGTCAGGATTTTGTAGCAGGGACCGAAGGAGTGACCACTGATATTAAATCATACATACCTCGACCGCAGGCACTATGTCAATACCGACAGTGAGGAACTCGTCAAACTTCAGGAAGGGGTTAAAACAGCTGCCAACGTCCAGCAGCCGCATTTTACCAAGCTGGGGGATGGACCTGCAAGCAGAGAAATCAGAGTCATTAAGAGTTAGGGCTAAGTCTGACATACAGTGAGTGTGCTTTATGAGTGCAGTAGCTAATATAATTAAATATGAATATTGAATGTCAATATGAACGCACAATAGAGCATGCTGAAGCAGGGCAAAATAGTCTGTTAAAAATCATCAGGGTTTGATTTAACATTGCAACAGTACAGTACCTGGGGATGGAGGAGCTATACGGCTGGGCACTCAGAGCTACAGGTGACATGGCCATGGCAAGCCTGGCACTCTTCTCATCCTTCTCCAACATTCTTTGCATCCCGCCATCCAGGAAATACTCCTGACAAACACTGGAAAAATAGTCCCAAAACATCACACATCATGGTATTGATGCCTCACCGTTAAAACGATACTGATGAGCAATGAAATATAGGGGCAAATCCATCGCATTGCCATCAATGCAGGACTAAGTGAAAATTCAACAAGCAGAGTCATCGCAATTAACATTCTGAGCTAGTACAGTGTAGGCAGAGGGTTATTTGTGGGGGGACCGTTTTACCTGCGACACCACTCGATGCGACCCTCTCCCTCGCAGGTCTTGGCCCAGTGGTTGTCGGCCAGGTTCTTCATGGCCAGGGCGTATTCACTCAGAGTCTGTTCATCCTCACAGTGCTCTCGCCAGATCTTCTCAAAATCACCCACTGTGGAAAGAACAAGAAAAAAAGGCAGGCAGAAGGTTGAAACAGAGAAAAGAAACCCAACAGAACACAACAAGCCTACCTCACACTATACAGTATGACATAGCAAAACAAACAAGCACAAATGAAAGGGGGCCAGGCAGAGATTTTTGTTTCCCATTTCATCACATTCAAATTCATCATTACAAATGGTAGGAATTGAAATTGAAAGTCGTGTCAGTTTTGTTTCTAAAAATGGCACGCAAGCATAGTACATACGTAGTGTACACAATAAGCCAACATTAAATGTACCTACTTGTAAAGTGTGTACATTCATTCAATAGAGGAATCACTATCATTCAGCCCCACACAGGCTAACACAACATTGCCTCAACATTTTCTAAAAACAGTTACTCGTGTCATCCTTCCGGCATTAGAGGCATATTTGAAAACCAGACTTTCAATAGACGTCTTCACATCTGTTCCTATATATATATATATATATATATATATATATATATATATATATATATATATATATATATATATATTCACAAATTCCCTTCACCAGGTCTTCACAGGCGTACAGCAGAATGCGTTTAGCTTGTGTGAGCAAACACGCTGATAAGGAAGAAATCCCATGACTACAAGAGGAAAAAAACAATATCAGATTGGCAGAAATGAAACGACAACAAGACAGGTTGGAATAAACAGCAGTGCCCTAGTACAAAGCATGACTACTGTGGTACCAATGCCAAGCAGAAGAGATCATGCTTTACTTATTAACCAATCATGGTGTCAGCTACTTATTAACCAATCATGGTGTCAGCTGACAGGACAACTGCCCAGTGTCTTGTCTTTCAAGAGCAGTTGCTAGGCCAGTCAGTCCTTCTACTGGTAGAGTGGAAAATACCTGTTGTATGCGGTTTTTACTTTATTTAGTGTGATGACTGCACCACAGTGGGAAATAGACCTAGGCTATTCATACACGATACTATTTTTAAGCAGGCTGGTATCTATTCAAACCGATGCTAAATAAACTAAATGAAAACATTGCCTGCAAAGTAAAATGAGTGGCTAACAGACCTATATTCTGTCCAGGTTGACCACCACAAGAGCACATTACATTACACTATTGGCAGCCTAGCTACACACAGAATGCAGAGCTCCATTACTGTTTGACTAAAACTGTGGCACTGGACATTCTTCCAGTAAGATTAGCCAATTTAGGGTTCAAAATAGCTGCAGTTGACACGAGAGACTTGCCTCATGATAAACAATCTGTTATGAATAGGTTTACTGGCAGATTCCTCCATTGGTTACGCCGGAACAGCCTACATCTGAATGCAAGACTAATTCCTGCAAAGGCCAATAAACTGAACCAGAAATGCATATCATATTTTTACACGATCTTTAGGCCTATACGCTACCCTTATCTTTCCTCCCCAATTCTATAGGCCTATGTGTAAAACAGCCGAAGTGAAAGATCTGCTGTCAGGATGAAATGGAAGAGGTATGCATGTATGTACAGTCCCAGTCAAAAGTTTGGACACACCTACTCATTCAAGGGTTTTTCTTTATTTTTTACTATTTTCTACATTGTAAAATAATAGTGAAGACATCAAAACTATGAAATAACACATGGAATCATGTAGTAACCAAAAAAAAAGTGTTAAACAAATCAACATATATTTTATAATTTGAGATTCTTCAAAGTAGCCACGCTTTGCCTTGACAGCTTTGCACACTTGGCATTCTCTCAACCAGCTCCATGAGGAATGCTTTTCCAACAGTCTTGAAGGAGTTCCCACATATGCTGAGCACTTGTTGGCTACTTTTCCTTCACTCCGTGGTCCAACTCATCCCAAACCATCTCAATTGGGTGGAGGTAAGGTCATCTGATGCAGCACTCCATCACTCTCCATGGTCAAATAGTATTGCTGCAAAATGCTGTGGTAGCCATGCTGGTTAAGTGTCCCTTGAATTCTAAATAAATCACTGACAGTGTCACCAGCAAAGCACCCCCACACCACCTCCTCTATGCTTTACGGTGGGAACCACACATGCGGAGATCATCCGTTCATCTACTCTGCGTCTCACAAAGACACGGCGGTTGGAACCAAAAATCGCAAATTTGGAGTCATCAGACCAAAGGACAGATTTCCACCGGTCTAATGTCAATTGCTCATGTTTCTTGGCCCAAGCAAGTCTCTTCTTCTTATTGGTGTCCTTTGGTAGTGGTTTCTTTGCAGCAATTCGACCATGAAGGCCTGATTCACGCAGTTTCCTCTGAACAGTTGATGTTGAGATGTGTCTGTTACTTGAACTCTGTGAAGCATTTATTTGGGCTGCAATCTGAGGTGCAGTTAACTCTAATGAACTAATTCTCTGCTGCAGAGGTAACTCTGGGTCTTCCTTTCCTGTGGCGATCCTCATGAGAGCCAGTTTGATCTTAGCGCTTGATGGTTTTTGTGACTGCACTTGAAGAAACTTTCAAAGTTCTTGAAATGTTCTGTATTGACTGACCTTCATGTCTTACAGTACTGATGGATTGTCATTTCTCTTTGCTTATTTGAGCTGTTCTTGCCATTATATATAGGGCTATCTTCTGTATACCACCCCTACCTTGTCACAACATTACTGATTGGCTCAAACGCATTAAGGAAAGAAATTCCACAATTTATCTTTTAACAAGGCTCACGTGTTAATTTAAATGCATTCCAGGTGACTACCTCATGAAGCTGGTTGAGAGAATGCCAAGAGTGTGCAAAGCTGTCATCACGGCAAAGGGTGGCTACTTTGAAGAATCTAAAATCTAAATGAGTAGGTGTGCCCAAACTTTTGACTGGTACTGTATATATAGCCTATAAATATGTGTGTGTGTGTGTGTGTGTGGAGAGAAAGCAGGTGCACATGTTTACTGGCTGAAAATTGTCAGAACTGCATGTGCTTTATTGAGGTCTTGCCCTGGCTGTGTCATGGTCAATTATAATTATAAAACATATTTTAGCAGGTAAAAAAATCTAAGTGGCGGGTAGATTTTTTAATCTACCTCCCACAGTGGCTGGTGGACCAAAAAGGTAATCTCCCACCCTGGTCATGGAAAGAGCAGGTGTCCTTAATGTTGTTTATATAGTCTAGTGAGTGTGCATAAGGTCAGTGCAAGATAGTCAATTAAATGGTACCCGAACTATTTAGCAGTCTTATGGCTTGGGGGTAGAAGCTGTCTCCGGTACCGTTTGCCGGACGATAGCAGAGTGAACAGTCTATGACTTCGGGTGGCTGGAGTCTTTGGCAATTTTTTGGCCCTTCCTTGGACACCGCCTGATATAAGAGGTCCTGGATGGCAGTGAGCTCGGCCCCAGTGATGTACTGGGCTGTCTGCACCACCCTCTGTAGTGCTTTGTGGTCAAGGGCGGTGCAACTGCCATACCAAGCGGTGATGCAGCCGGTCAAGATGCTCTCGATGGTGCAGCTGTAGAACTTTGAGGATCCGAGAGCCTATGCCAAATCTTTTCAGCCTCCTGAGGGGGAACAGACGCTGCCGTGCCCTCTTCACGACTGTGCGGGTGTGTGTGGACCATGCTAAGTCCTTAGTGATGTGGATGCCAAGGAACTTGAAGCTCCCCAATAGCCCCGTTGATGTGGATGGGGGCGTGCGCTCCCCTCTTTCTCCCTATAGTCCACGATCAGCTCCTTGGTCTTACTGACGTTGAAGGAGAGGTTGTTGTGCTGGCACCACACTGCCAAGTCTCTGACCTCCTCCCTGTAGGCTGACTCATCGGTGATCAGGCCTACCACCGTCATGTCGTCAGCAAACTTAATGGTGTTGGAGTTGTGCGTAGCCACGCAGTCGTGGGTCAACAGGGAGTACAGGAGGGGACTAAGAACACACTCCTTAGGGGCCCCCGTGTTGAGGGTCAGCGTGGCGGAGGTGTTGCTGCCTACCCTCACCACCTGGGGCTGGCCCATCAGAAGGTCCAGGATCCAGTTGCAGAGGAAGGAGTTCAGTCTCAGGGTCCTTAGCTTAGAGGGGACTATTGTGTTGAATGCTGAGCTGTAGTCTATGAACAGCATTCTCACATACACTGAACAATCATAAATGCAACATGTAAAGTGTTGGTCCCATGTATCATTAGCTGAAATAAAAGATCCCAGAAATGTTCCATATGCACAAAAAGCTTATTTCTCTCAAATGTTGTGCACAAGATAATCCATCCACCTGACAGGTGTGGCATATCAAGAAGTTGATTAAACAGCATGATCATTACACAGGTGCACCTTGTGCTGGGAACAATAAAAGGCCACTAAAATGTGCAGTAGTCACAACACAATGCCATGTTGAGGGAGCGTACAATTGGCATGCTGACTGCAGGAATGTCCACCAAAGCTGTTGCCAGAGAATTTAATGTTAATTTCTCTACCATTAGCCGCCTCCAACGTCGTTTTAGAGAATTTGGCAGTACATCCAACCGGCCTCACAACCGCAGACCACGTGTTGTATGGGTGAGCGGTTTGCTGATGACAACGTTGTGAACAGAGGTGGGGTTATGGTATGGGCAGGCATATGCTACAGACAACGAACACAATTGCATTTTATCGATGGCAATTTGAATGCACAGAGATACCATGACCAGATTCTGAGGCCCATTGTCGTGCCATTAATCCGCCACCATCACCTCATGTTTCAGCATTATAATGCACAGCCCCATGTCGCAAGGATATGTACACAATTCCTGGAAGCTGAAAATATCCCAGTTCTTCCATGGCCTGCATTCACTCCAGACATGCCACCCATTGAGCATGTTTGGTATGCTCTGGATTGACATGTACGACAGCGTGTTCCAGTTTCCGCCAATATCCAGCAACTTCGCACAGCCATTGAAGAGGAGCGGGACAACATTCCACAGGCCACAATCAACGGCCTGATCAACTCTATGCTAAGGAGATGTGTCGCGCTGCATCAGGCAAATGGTGGTCACACCAGATACGGACTGGTTTTCTGATCCACGCCCCTACTTTTTTTTTTAAATGGTATCTGTGACCAACAGATGCATATCTGTATTCCCAGTCATGTGAAATCCATAGATGAGGGCCTAATGAATTTATATGAACTCATTCAGTAAAATCTTTGAAATTGTTGCGTTTATATTCATTTCCCCTCTAGTCCAGGTGGTAGAGTGTATTGTGAAGTGCAATTGAGATTAGGTCATCTGTGGATCTGTTGGGACGGTATGCGAAATGGAGTGGGTCTAGGGTGTCTGGGATGATGATGTTGATGTGTGTCATGACGAGCCTTTCAAAGCACTTCATAATTACAGATGTGAGTGCTACAGGGTGATAGTCATTTAGGCAGGTTATTTTAGAGCTCTTTGGAACAGGGCCAATGGTGGACAGTTTGAAACATGTTGGGATTACAGACTGGGACAAGGGGAGATTGAAAATGTCTGAAGATACTTGCCAGCTGGTCTGCGCATGCTTTGAGAATACATGCGCCTTGGTTTTCCGGCTGGCCCGGCAGCCTTGTGTTTGTTAACCTGTTTAAAAGTTTTGCTTACATAGGCCACGGAGAGCGAGATCACACAGTCATCCGGAAAAACTGGGGCTTTCACGCAGGGCACAGTGTTATATTCTTCAAAGCAAGCATAAAAGGCATTTAACTCATTTTGAAGTTATGCATCGCTGGGCACTCATGGCTGGGTTTACCCTTTGTAATCCGTTATCTTCTGTAAGCCCTGCCACATTCGACGACTGTTGGGAGCCGGTGTAATAGGATTCCACCTTCCTTCGATATTGTCCTTTTGCATATTTGATGTCTCGTCTGAGGTCCAAAGGGAGGACAAGGGAGGGCCTTGAATGAGTTTCTGTGGGTAGAATAAAAGTGGTCTTTAGTTTTAGCGCTCCTAGTGGCGCAGGAGACGTGTTGGTAGAAGTGAGGTAGGACGGTTTTAAGTCTCCCAGCGTTAAAGTCTCTGCCCACCATAAACGCTGCCTTTGGGTTGGCAGTTTCTTGTTTGTTTATGGCCCCATATAGGTTGTTGAGTGCCATAGTGGTGTTGGCTTGTGGAGGGATGTAGACAGCTGTGACAATTATGGATGAGAACTCTTGGTAGATGAAAGGGTCTGCAGCTTACCATGAGGTATTCTATATCAGGTGAGCAAAAAGCTTTAGATTTCCTTCACACTTGAAACAGCACACAAGTTGTTATTTATGAGGGGAAAACACTCTCGCAAAGAAGGTCACCTACTGGTAGATGGGTTAAAAATAAATAAAAATAGACATTGAATGGGGGAAGACATCTCCTGCATCTGAGTTAGGAAGGATGCCTGTATTCTTGTAGTGACTGGGTGTATTGACACACCATCCAAAGTGCAATTAATAACTTCACCATGCTCCACGATTTTCAATGTATTTTTATTTTTTTACCCATCTACCAATAGGTGACCTTCTTTGCGAGGCATTGGAAATCCTCCCAGGTCTTTGTGGTTCAATCTGTTTGGAACTCATTGCTCGACTGAGGGACCTTACAATTATCTGTATGTGTTGGGTACAGAGATGAGGTAGTCATACCATGAGGCCAATGGTGACATTAAAACAGTTACAAAGTTTAATGGCTGTGATAGGAGAAAACTGAGGATGGATCAACAACATTGTCGTTACTCCACAATACTAACCAACTTGACAGAGTGAAAAGAAGGAAGCTTGTACAGAATAACAAATATTACAAAACATGCATCCTGCTTGCAACAAGGCACTAAACTAATACTGAAAAAATGTGGCAAAACAATTCACTATTTGTCCTGAATACAAAGTATTATGTTTGGTGCAAATCTAACACATTACCACTCTCCATATTTTCAAGCAAAGTGGTAGCTGCATCATGTTATGGGTATGCTTGTAATTGTTAAAGACTGGGGAGTTTTTCAGGATAAAACAGAATGGAGCTAAGCACAGGCAAAATCCTTGAGGAAAACCTGTTTCAATCTGCTTTCCACCAGACACTTGGAGATGAATTCACCTTTCAGCAGGACAATAACCTAAAACACAAGGCCAAATCAACACTGCAGTTGCTTACCAAGAAGATAGTGATTGGATTGGTAAATCTACCTGAAAATCTATGGTAAGTCCTGAAAATGGTTGTCTAGCAATGATCAACAACCAATTTGACAGAGCTAGAAGAATTTTGAAAATAATAATGGGCAAACATTGCACAATCCAGGTGTGGAAAGCTCTTAGAGACTTACCCAGAGAGACTCACAGCCGTAATCGCTGCCAAAGGTGCTTCTTCAAAGTATTGACCCAGGGGTGTGAATACTTATGTAAATGAGATATTTCTGTATTTCATTTTCAATAAATGTGTTAACATTTCTAAAAACATGTTTTCACTTTTTCATTATGGGGTATTGTGTGTAGCTGGATGAGAACAAAATATATGTAATACATGTTTAATTCAGGCTGTAACACAAAATGTGGAATAAGTCAAGGGGTATGAATACTTTCTGAAGGCATTGTATCCGGTGTATGTGACAATAAAACATTTTATCTTATTTTTGTCGTGATTTTCAGTTTCTGAACAGGTGACACAAAAGCCATACAACCCAGGCTCACCTGTCTGACAGTGCCCATGATCCAGTATGTTATGATTGAACAACCTTCCCAAATGACTATGGCTGTAGGTAATGTAAGAGGCGATTGTGAATTTTGTTATGAATGCCAAATCATACAATAAGGTCCAAACAACCATAGCCTAGTTGGTAAGTGCACACCGCAGCTTGAAATATTCCCAGGCGGCCCTGATCTAGCGTTACGTTAGTCTGGTTTGATCATAAATAAGTGAAATGTAGCAACACAAGTTAGCCACCTAGCTACTATTGTATGACAATGTTTTTTAGATAATAGTCGAGCAGACGGAGCCTGACATGTTGCCCGCCACTTGCAGTATGTGCAAGGCCCCCAAAATAAGAAATCATGTTAGCAAGCTAGCAAGCTAGCTACATTAGTTATACTTGGGGCCTTATTTTCGCCCAGTTTAAATGGACCGTTTGCTGAGACAGACGCCGGACCCCTGAATTTTGCTAGCAGGTTAAACTAACTAATGTTAGTTAGCTAAAGTTAACGACGCGTAACTACCTTCTCGGTATTTTCTTCGCAGTTTTCTATGGACATTCTTGACGACTCCGGACAGTTTTTCCTGCTCCTTCTTCTTGCACCGCGTTTCTTTCGGAATGAGAACGTAGACCGGCTCCAATTCGGTTTCTGTATCTCCTGTTTCAGCATTGTTCACCGGGTCCATAGTCCTGCGCCGCTTCTCCTTCCTCACCAGGGGAAGGCTTTTATTTTTACAGACCAGCTACAGTTCTTCACATCTAACTACGTTAACGACCGGTGTCAGCCTGCACACCAGGTCCACAAGCGAACAACGCGCGCGCTGATTGGTTCCCCTGGAAACACATGCTGCGGCACTGACAGCTGTATGACCAATCACAGAGCTGAAAACAGAAACACCTTCAGCATACAGTTGCATCGGCTATTTGCTGTTTAAATCGAAATAATAGCTCCATTTAGAGGTGCCAGCTTTATAATGTAACTATTGCTATCTAAAATGTGTGTGCAAATGTGGATGTAAGAGTACAGGTTGGTCTGGTTTTAAAGTCTGGTCACATTAGCTACTGTATGGAGGCCTTTCTCCTGTATGATGTTCCAGGGACAACACAGGAATGAGGTCGCAGGGTATGATGTCCCTGGAACAACATACAGATGCGGAAAAAATTAAGAGACCACTGCAAAATTATCAGTTTCTCTGTTTTTACTACTTATAGGTATGTGTTTGGGTAAAAATAACATTTTTGTTTTATTCTATAAACTACTGACAACATTTCTCCCAAATTCCAAATAACAATATTGTCATTTAGAGCATTTATTTGCAGAAAATGACAACTGGGCAAAATAACAAAAAATATGCAGTGTTGTCAGACCTCGAATAATGCAAAGAAAATAAGTTCATGTTCATTTTTAAACAACACAGTAGTAATGTTTTAACTTAGGAAGGGTTCAGAAATCAATATTTGGTGGAATAACCCTGATTTTCAATCACAGCTTTCATGCGTCTTGGCATGCTCTCCACCAGTCTTTCACATTGATGTTGGGTGACTTTATGCCACTCCTGGCGCAAAAATTCAAGCAGCTCGGCTTTGTTTGATGGCTTGTGACCATCCATCTTCCTCTTGATCACATTCTAGAAGTTTTCAATGGGGTTCAGGTCTGGAGATTGGGCTGGCCATGAAAGGGGCTTAATCTGGTGGTCCTCCATCCACACCTTGATTGACCTGGCTGTGTGGCATGGCACATTGTCCTGCTGGAACAACCAATCCTCAGAGTGGGGAGAACAATGTCAGAGCAAAAGGAAGCAAGTTTTCTTCCAGGACAACCTTGTACATACCCGATTCCAGCCTTGCTGAAGCACCCCCAGATCATCACCGATCCTCCACCAAATTTCACAGTGGGTGCGAGACACTGTGGCTTGTAGGCCTCTCCAGGTCTCCGTCTAATCATTAGACGACCAGGTGTTGGGCAAAGCTGAAAATTGGACTCATCAGAGAAAATGACCTTACTCCAGTCATCTACGGTCCAATCCTTATGGTCTTTTGCAAACCTCAGCCTGGCTCTTCTTTGCTTCTCATTGATGAAGGGCTTTTTTCTAGCTTTGCACGACTTCAGCCCTGCCCCTAGGAGCCTGTTTCGAACCGTCCTCGTCGTGCACTTCACCCCAGCTGCCGTTTGCCATTCTTTTTGTAGGTCACTTGATGTCATCCTACGGTTGTTGAGTAACATTCGAATGAGTTGGCGGTCATCCCGGTCAGTAGAGGGTCGTTTTCGCCCTCTGCCGGTCTGTAGCTTTGTTGTCCCCGATGTCTGCTGCTTGACCTTGTTCTTATGAACTGCCGTCTTTGAAATTTTAAGGACGGAGCAACCTGACGCTCACTGTATCCCTCTGCTAGTAAAGCCAGAATTGAACCCTTATTTTCCTCACTCAAAACGTTCCTTTCAACTCTTTTGGCATGGTCCATAGTTATTTTTTGATTAATATTAATTTTGAGGTACTATTAGCACTGTTTTTGCCATCCAGCTGGTCCTATTGCAAGAGGATAGTGATGACTACAGCAGTGTTTTTTTTATACTTTTCCTCGTTAAATAAGATTTGGTTCATGTGATCACCTAATCAGTACCTAACTCAGTAGAATGAGGTGTGCCTGTGTTGGAATTCAACAGACACTGGAATGGAATGGCTGTCATACATGTAGAGATGCTGATTTAAGAAAAATGTGCAGTGGACTCTTAATTTTTTCCACAGCTATATGTATGATATTCCTGGGACAAGAATTAGGCAATTAGATTCCATCCTTTCTGCGTTTGGTTTGAGGTTAATAAATGAAGTCCCTTGGAGCCTCTCTAGCAGCCCTTGGAGAGGCCTTGCCTTACAGGCCTTGTAACACACAAGGTTTGTAGCTACATACTGCCACCTTATGGTAGGTAATATTGAGACAGATTCCTCAGACCTTTCAGAGTCTACTTTGGAGGAGGACATGTTAGAAAACGTTTGTTTGAAAAATAATTACAAAATCTTTAAAAAACGAATGTTTGTTCAAACAGGGATCTCAATTCAGCAACTCTGGATGAACCATGTGCTCATAGTATTGGCATAGGCCTGTGGCTCATAAGATTCCATTATTGATGAGCGTGAACTTGACATTCGACTTATAAGATCTTGCTCTAGTCAGTTTCAGAACAGATAGTAATGACCTCACACAAAAAATCATACAACCCAGGCTCACCTGTCTGCCAGTGCCCATAATATAGGCTTAGGGGGAAAGTGGGGTAAATTGAGAAATTTCTTACATTCAGCATCACTCCGTCAAGGGAAATATAGTATTCTTTCTAACAAATATATCTACATACTGTATATTTTAGGATGTTTGTATCCCTGGAAATAATCAGAATTAATGTAAACATTACAGTTTTGAAAACCTAGCTTGTCCTAAAAAACTGTTCTCTTGTACAATTTACCCTGGGTATGAGGTAAATTGAGCTGCGGGACAGGGTAAGGTGAAGCTGCCTACAAAATTCTGTACTGAATGAAATATTACCACTGGGCACAGTTTTGATTTACATTTCGTTGAGTTGTCTAATGTGAATTCAATGTGAAATCAACAAAAGATGTCACCATGTCATTGGATTTAGGTTAAAAGTTGGGTGAAAAAAAAACGGGTTGAAATGATGTGGAAACAACATTGATTCAACCAGTTTTTGCCCAGTGGGTACCTTTTTAAAACCATGTATATCTTTATTTCCCAAACACATTTTAACACAATCATAATTGCTTTTTTGTCTTTTAATAATTTTAAGCATATTTGAACTCAGGCTTAACACCTAAAAAACACGTTGTCCTTTTTTAAACACTTAATTAATTTGACTTGGTGAAAATCTGTTTTTCTGACCTAACATGTTTACTACTTTTTCCATGTGGCTTCTTCCTTCACACACTCCATGAAATGATGACCTCTTTCTAAATAATTGGTCAAATTATACATTTTGTGTATGGTTTCATAGAAACAAGAGTGGCGCTCAACTTACCCCTTTGGCTCAACTTACCCCACTCTCCCCTATGTGTGATTGAATAATCCATTTATGATTTACGTAAAATGCTATCACCAATTCATGTTATCACCAATTCAAACCTCTCAGGGCTGATTTCTCCCAGGAATGAAGGGATGGATGCATTTCATTGAAAATATAGGCCTTCCATAGATTTGGGGCAGTTTAATAATAATAATAATACATTGTATTTAAAGTGCCTTTCAAAAAGAACCAAGGACACTATACAACAAAAGAAAATATAAAAAAAGCAAGGATAAAAACAAAACTGTGAGTACTGTGAAAGCTAAATGTCTCTTGTGTTTCAGATCTAGGCATTGGATCTAATGCTTAGTGTACACAGGAGATCCACTCTGCATGTGGCTGCCTCCCAGGGTCACTCTGAGGGCCTCAGATTTCTGGTGGAGAACACAGGCGCCAGCTGCTCCCTCACACACACAGCTCCGTCTTACCCTAACAGGTACTCTACAGTTAAGGAGAGAGGCACATAAATAGCACATACAGTTGAAGTCGGAAGTTTACATACACCTTAGCCAAATACATTTAAACTCAGTTTTTCCACAATTTCTGACATTTAATCCTAGTAAAAATTCCCTGTCTTAGGTCAGTTAGGATCACCACTTTATTTTAAGAATGTGAAATGTCAGAATAATAGTATGATTTATTTAAGCTTTTATTTCTTCCATCACATTCCCAGTGGGTCAGAAGTTTACATACACTCAATTGGTATTTGGTAGCATTGCCTTTAAATTGTTTAACTTGGGTCAAACGTTTCGGGTAGCCTTCCACAAGCCTCCCACATTAAGTTGGGTGAATTTTGGCCCATTCCTCCTGACAGAGCTGGTGTAACTGAGTCAGGTTTGTAGGCCTCCTTGCTTGCACACGCCTTTTCAGTTCTGCCCACAAATGTTCTATAGGACGGCAGGTAGCTTAGTGGTTAAGAGCGTTATGCTAGTAACCGAAAAGTCGCTGGTTCTAATCCCCGAGCCGACTAGGTGAAAAATCTGTCTGTGCCCTTGAACAAGGCACTTAACCCTAATTGCTCCTGTAAGTCACTCTGGATAAGAGCGTCTGCTAAATGACTAAAATGATTGAGGTCACGGCTTTGTGATGGCCACTCCAATACCTTGACTTTGTTGTCCTTAAGCCATTTTGCCACAACTTTGGAAGTATGCTTGGGGTCATTGTCCATTTGGAAGACCCATTTGCGACCAAGCTTTAACTTCCTGACTGATGTCTTGAGATGTTGCTTCAATATATCCACATCATTTTCCTTCCTCATGATGCCATCTATTTTGTGAAGTACACCAGTCCCTCCTGCAGCAAAGCACCCCCACAGCATAATGCTGCCACTCCCGTGCTTCACGGTTGGGATGGTGTTCTTCGGCTTGCAAGCATGCCCCCTTTTCCTCCAAACATAACGATGGTCATTATGGCCAAACAGTTCTATTTTTGTTTCATCAGACCAGAGGACATTTCTCCAAAAAGTACGATCTTTGTCCCCATGTGCAGTTGCAAATCGTAGTCAGGCTTTTTTATGTCGGTTTTGGAGCAGTGGCTTCTTCCTTGCTGAGCGGACTTTCAGGTTATGTCGATATAGGACTTGTTTTACCGTGGATATAAATACTTTTGTACTGGTTTCCTCCAACATCTTCACAAGATCCTTTGCTGTTGTTCTGTGATTGATTTGCACTTTTCGCACCAAAGTACGTTCATCTCTAGGAGACAGAACGCGTCTCCTTCCTGAGCGGTATGACGGCTGCGTGTTCCCATGGTGTTTATACTTGCGTACTATTGTTTGTACAGATGAACGTGGTACCTTCAGGCGTTTGGAAATTGCTCCCAAGGATGAACCAGACTTGTGGAGGTCTACAATTTCTTTTCTGAGGTCTTGGCTGATTTTTTTGATTTTCCCATGATGTCAAGCAGAGGCACTGAGTTTGAAGGTAGGCCTTGAAATACATCGACAGGTGCACCTCCAATTGACTCAAATGATGTCAATTAGCCTATCAGAAGCTTCTAAAGCATGACATCATTTTCTGGAATTTGCCTAGCTGTTTAAAGGCACTGTCAACTTAGTGGATGTAAACTTCTGACCCACTGGAATTGTGATACAGTGAAATCATCTGTCTGTAAACAATTGTTGGAAAAAAATTACTTGTGTCATGCACAAAGTAGATGTCCTAACCGACTTGCCAAAACTATAGTTTGTTAAAAAGAAATTTGTGGAGTGGTTGAAAAACAAGTTTGAATGACTCCAACCTAAGTGCATGTAAACTTCCGACTTCAACTGTATGTCAAAAAGAACTCTCAGTACTTGTCGAGACACCCAAAACGATATCGCTTTTCGGTAGATTGAAGAGATATAACACATATTTGATGGGATTTCAATGGGTCGTTTTTTTATTACAAATGTATTTAGTTGTCAAGTTTTGGTCTAGGTAAAACTTTGAAAGTAAACAGTTGGCTCATACAATGTTGCATTCAAATGTACGAAATAATCCAATACAAAAGTTTGGAGGAATAAAATCATTGCAGTCTCATGGTAAAAATGTAGGTCAAACCTTTACATTCACGCTTTCAGCCCTCTAAACTTTGGTTTACATGCTTAAGAAAAATTATGAAATTACATTCTGGTTTAACTGGAGGGGCATTTCTTTGGAAACATTTCAGAACAATGCACATTTTCCTTTTTATTTTCAATTGTTAGGAGGATGGTGTTTTTCATATTCCAAATATCAGTAAGCACTGAGAAATTCGCCTAAAAGCTGTCATTCAAAAAGATTCAAACCATAACATTCTCACATATGCTAGTAGTACTACCACACAAGGCAGTTGTAACATCTGTGGCTGGTTCATGTCACTTTGTATAGGCAATGATGGCTGGCTGGTACTGTGTATCTTAAATGTTGGCTGTAACTTGGCTGGCAAACTCGTTGGCAGGATTCTGATTTTCACTTATCCTTTCTCCTCGTTTCCTACAAATAGAAACAGATTTCTACTTTTTCATCCCCTGCTTTTTCCAAACAAATCCCAGTTGTTTTACTTACAGACAGTACAAAAGTAAACCGAAATATTCAATTTTAAATGATGAAACCAGGGAGTGACTGAGAGTCCAGTCTAAAGGGGCAAGTGTCAGTAATATTAAATAGATTCTGCAACAGTACTTTTGTATAATTTAGCCAGTAGTTCTGAAAGTAGCGCCCCGAGCCAAAAGTGGTCCCTGAAGATTGTGTACTACGTCACATATGTGCAGATATGTGCACCACGTCATTGCTTGCTCTCTGCTCTGCTGTGGGTGCAACATGTGCATCTTGCTAGCTGTCAATCATACCCCCTAAAATAAAAAACAAAATGTAAAAAAAAGCTGTCAATCATATGGTGAGGGGCTGAAGCTCATTGGTTGAACTCAAATTACTAAGGGGCTGGCCCAAGTGGGGGAACATTTTTGGAAAATGGTGCAGCACAGCTTTCAAATTAGGGATTTTGTGGCTAATTGAGGTAAGACAGTAATTCTGCACATAGATTATGCACGTATGAACTACACATTGACACATCCAGCCCAAAGCGGGAGGTTTGAAAAATACTTAGTGGTCGCTAAAGTTCCGGAGCATGTCTTTAAACGGCTTCTGGTTTCAAATGCCCATATCCTTGATTGGCATTCATTTTGCCTTGGGGACCAGTTTCCTTCAAAACCCCGGACTGGGGGTTGTGTTTAAAACAGACAGGTGCTGTAGACAGTGACTTTGTGACTGATCTCCTGCAGCAGCTCTTTGATTGACTTCTCCAGATCCACCAACTGGTTGGCCTTGTCTTCCAGAGTCTTCTGGTTGTCATCATATGACTTTTCTAAATCTGGATGGGAACCAAAAAGGAGAGTCATGCTACCGTCAATCTACTTGCTTAAAGTAACAAGATGTGTAGTATCCCTCCACACACCGGTTTTATAATCAGAACATGTGAAAATTTCACACAGTGAATAGGCACACTTGAGAAGAGAATGTTAGAGGGACTGCGTCATTTTATGTTCAACTCTGTATTGGAAAAAGTGAGTTAACATGGACATGGAGAGCTCATAGGTATTATAAACTGATCATGTTTATACTGTATATCCACTAAGCAGACACCATTACACAGTAGGGTCTGTGTATTGTTTGTGATAATGCCTCAATGCGTTGTAAGGACATGTCATGATTGGACCCCAAGGGTGTGTGTTTTAGGTAGTGAGTTGTGATTGTATATACATGCAAGGCACTCTCCAAGCTGTTCTTGATGTGTGTGTGTAGATGTACCTTTCAGTAGCTGCAGCTTGTCGCTGGCCTGTAGCAGCAGGTCTTTGGCTTCCTGCTGTAGAAGCTCCGCCCTCTTCTTGGCGTTGGCCACGCCCCCGGCCTTCTGCGTGATCAGGTCTTCCACGGTGCTATACTTATCCTTCAGCTCCGAGTCTAGGTCCTGTACACACACACACACACACACACACACCGTCATATACAAGGTCCGCAATTTATTGTAAGACGGACAAGGCTTGAAAATGAACCACAAACTCTCACACTTATCCCAATATAACACAGAGTGGATCACACACATTTTTGACCTGCTCAGCCACTTTGTTGATTCTCTCTGCGTCTTTCTCAGTTTGTTCAGAGCTGAGTGAGGTGTTCAGTGCCTTCTCTCTGAGCAGCATGACGTCTCGCTCTAACCACAGCAGCCTCTGGGTGGCGTTGTTCAGCTTGTACTCTGAGTCCGCTGTCTCCGACTCCACCTGTTCAAGATGTAAAGACGGGAACAGGGTTAATTTCTGCGTCTTTACGGTATTAGCTGTCAAGCAAAATACTTTCAAATATTTGAGTTGCTTTATTTAGTTTTCCCAGTAGAATGGAACCAATGGATTAGTCCCAAAAGTTCAAACTCGCTCTGTGAGGATGTTGACTCACTGAGGTCAGGAGGTCATTGGTGCCTTTGATGTCGGTGGTGGCCTGTTTGATGGCCTTGGCCGCTGCGCTCTGGGCACGCTCAGCCTCCTCCAGAACCTGCTTCACCATCTCTGCTGTGTCCCTCACATCTGTCGCCTCTTTACTGTGGGACACACACAGAGGGGGTAAATAATAAGCACACCAAGCACAACAGTGTTGTATGTATGGAGTACCTGGCTTTGCACACTTGCCGCATCTTCTGCACTCTGTTCAAGGATGATCTTGAGGTGTGTGTGTGTTTATGTGTGTTACCTGGCTCTGCGTGCCTGCTCCAGTAGGCTATCGGCTCTCTGGATGTCGTCGGAGCTCTGGTTAAGGATGGTCTCCACGTGGGACAGGTCTTCCACTCTCTCCCTGATCTCGTCTGTCAGGTTTTGGAGCTGGGCTGGCGTGGTGGGCATCTGCATGGCAAGCACCTCGTTGGCCACTGCCTCAATGCTCGCCAGGTCCGCTGCATCCTCTAGGGGGCGCCATAGGAGAGACAAGGGTTACGATGGGGGGACAGTTGTACTAAACTCATGTGGCATTTATAAGTTACATACTTTTAGAATCAATGGGTGAAATTAATTGAAATGGCCATTGAACAGCTGCACATACTGCAGATTGTACCTTTAAATAACGGGGTAGTAAACATATGTAGGAGTTAAAGTATGAGGGCTACGTGGGAGTTGATTGGAGGAGTACACATACGTGTGAGGAAGTCTCTGATCTGTCGGATGAGGCTGCGCAGCTCCTCGTTGCTCTGGTCCACACGCTGCTTGGTACCATTGGTCTTCAGCAGCACGTTCTGGGCACTCAGCTTAGCCGCATCCGCCTTCACCTTGGCTTCCGACACCTGGGCACCTCATCACACACAGACAGGTTAGGAACCAGAGGAGAGGTAGTGGGGGGAATTTCTAGTCTAAAGAGAGTTGGTTCATTTTAATTTAAAGACAGGGTCTCACCATCTTGGCGAGCTTGTCCACTTCCTCCATGGCCGTGAGGATCTCTTGGTCAAAGTCCTTGGCCTTCTGCCAGGCGTTGTTGGCCAGGGTGACCAGACCATCGCACCCCTCGCCACCGCACCTCCTGTTCCCCTCGGAATCCACACAGCTCAGCCCCCCGCACGGAGAGTCCACACATGCCTCATCAGCTGGGCTACCACACGTCTGCATAGAGAGGACCAGTAGAGTGAGTAGAGTTCAACTTGGATGCAAGACCGTGGTTCTCTTTTAATCAAACCTAACATCCTTCCTTTGATTTAACAGCACAAGAAAATGTATTATTTTCGATGGTTTTATCTCACAAACTGGGATTAGATTGAGTCCCATCTGTGTCAAACTCAGATCCACACACCTCTGCAATGTCAACATCAGCAAGCCAGTGTCAGGCCTCAGATATGGCCTTTCTTGGCCTTACCTTCTCGCTGAGTTCTGATAGGTCCAGTGTCTCCAGCTGCCCTGCCAGGTCATCCAGTCTCTTGGCGTGTTTTCCCTGCCTCCTGTGGAACTCCTCCCTGGTGTCGTTCATCTTGTCCTCTGTGGCTTGCCGTAAAATGGCGGAGCTCTCCACAGGGTTGCCTGGGCCACTGGTGGAGGCGTTGGCGCGAGCATCTGCAGCCAGAGACTGCTGGTAGTACTTGGTGACACTGTCTGTCGCTCCTGTCATTATAAAAACAATGTTTAATGTCACAGAGTTGACAAATGGAAGTATAATGGAGATTTACATTGTATATCTCTTCTATATCACAATCCTCAACATGTATATCAGTCCCTAACCCCGAACGTCAGTGTTCTTGATGAACTCCACTTGGTCCAGCAGCTCCTTGACGGTGCGATCTAGCTTCTGGGCGTCCTCTTTGAGAGAGTCCAGTTTGGTGTTGGTGCTGTTGTCATCAGATGATACCTGGGCCAGCGCCTCCTCAGTGAGGTTCAGCTTGTTGCTCATCTCTTCCATTAGATCTCTTAAGAACATAAATATATCATAAAGAAAGAATACAGTATATAAATTGGTTTGCCATTAATGAATATTGTCATTGACCCATTTTGACCCCACCCTTTTCCCCACTTACGTGGCCTGCTCCAGTAGCTGCTGTATTTCTGACAGTGGCTCTGTAGCCGGGTTCTGGGCCAGGATAGTTCTTATGGACCCGGCGCTCTGCTCCATGTTATCTATGGTGTGTTTGTAGGGTCCGGTGATGCCGCTGGCCTTGATGGTGTTCACCTTGTTGACCAGCCTGTGGGTCTGGTTGGTCAGCTGACCCACGACCACGTCCCAGTCGGCGAAGCACTGGTGGCAGCGTTCGCAGTAGGGGAAGGTGCCAGAGTAGCCGCGGGTGCAGACGTCACAGCGGGGACCAGACACGCCCTCCACGCACACGCAGTGACCGTTGGCCTTGTTGCACTGCTGCTCAGCGATGCCTCGTGGGTCACAGTCACATGCTGCAAGGCAACAGGAAACCAGTTTTACTACAATTTTCAGTCAACTCTAAAACTCTTAATGCATGACTGAACTCACAAAACATAATTTTTTCCATAAGTCATTAGCATTTTGTTCCATCCTGATCCTGACCAGTCAGTCACCCTCCAAAGGTCCTGAATGGGAGGGAGACATTTCAAACAGCTTGGTGACGTCCCATAACAAGGGGACAACAGCCTACACAGCAGCCTTACAAAGCCAGGGAAGTGCTTCTCAGTAGCCCCCCTCTCTCTCGCTACCTCTTCAAAGGACGCATCTGCCTCGTCAGGTCAACGCATAAACTCATTTTGTCTATTGGGATCCACCTAATCTAATTTCAAAGTGCGCCACTGGCGACAAGGGAAAGGAAGGGAGCTCCTGTCACTTTATGGGGTGGAACCTTTATAGGTTTATAATCACATGTTACTGCTATGTTTGGTGGTGTTAAGCACGGTTAGCACCCTGTTGTAAGCACCTCTGAAATGTGGACTGGCTATCCTAACTCTTCTATTTGAGACTTTTTCCATTAGAATTCAAATGGTAATATCCCAGTTATTTAATGCTAGCAACTAATATGCCTTGCCATATCATCCATTTTTAAATCTACTGGTAAGCCTATGTCTTTCTGGGTGAGTTAAGAGTGGCCAGGTGATGTTTTGACTTGTGGGTAAAACGTTTTTGATGGAATTTCACCTCGTTAAGATGAAGTCTACTGAAGTTCTGGGGAGCCAAAGACCAATGAACCACAGCCACCCACATTACCCTGGTGACTTTAAGCTTACAACAAGCTCTACGCAGATGCAAGATTTGGAGTGTTGCAATGTTGTTTTTCGTCACAAAAAGGGGCGGCTCCTTGTAATACGCTCCAGCATTCGACGTGGTTTATTACTACCTGAAAATGTAGACATGCCGTATCATTCCTTCCGCAGCCGTAGGGGCAGTGTTGTATCTTGGTTCCTTGATCTGGGCCCAGTTTCTCGATAGCGATGGAATTTAGGCTTACAAGTGTTTTAACGATGCATCTTTCCTACAACTGCCGAAGATTTAACATTAGTTTCCCAAAACACCACGCAGAGAGAACGTTCGCTAAATGCGTCGTTGAGGCATGTGTCGATACTGATAGGATCAAAAGAAAGGAAGCACTGTTCTTGGATCAGTGTTCTCCTTTCCAATCTTACCGTAACATTAGAAATTATTCCACAATACTGTTGACGGATCAGCTTCTAGAGAGATATTATCAGGGTTGAAAGTAAGGCGGAACGTGAGCCTATCACAATTAATACAACATGCCCGAAAAACTTGTGGGTACACAGGTCACTGTTAGGGTTTGGATGCTGAAATTATTTTGTGAGTGGACTAATGTGCGCGGGTAGCCTACAGGAGCACCTTTGTTAAGTGACTGTTTGACAATCAGATGAAAACATCATGACTGGTTGTGTTTATGCCACATTAAAAGGCAAAGGTTGCTTGTCAATAAGGCTAGGGGAAGCTTTCTTTAAAGTAAATTGAATTAAATTGCCAAAATGATATAGCCTAATTAGCTTACTCCTGTCTATACAGAAGTAAATACAATCATTCAAAATAGGCTACTACACCAGAAAGCATGATTTGGCCACAGAGGATCATTAGCTTCTTTTTTTTTTTTTACTGTGGATTGTTTTAAATCACATAGCCTACAGTCGGAAGGGCCCGCAATTTGGGCAGCGCATGCTGCAAATACCAAATAGAGGATTGTTGAGTTGCGACTGTCAGTGAAAAGTAGAGAGACCCAGCCAGGCATATCGCAATATTTAAAAATACAAATCGCGTAAAAACTGTTTGGAAAGCAAATGGCTATTGATGTAAAGAGATGTCAATGAAAATACTCAAATTTTAGCGAACAGAAGCCTTTCATATTGGCACTAGCGGAGAACATCAGCCATACCCCCGGTAAGTATGTATATTCACTGTCTTTGTCATTGGGTCAGTGCCACTTTTGCTAGTTTTTGGACAATAATTTCCTCCTCGAGGATGCCACCTTTCCAAGAAGTCAGTTCGTCAAACTTCTGCCCTGCTAAAGCTGCCCCGGTCAACTGTAAGTTTTGTTATTGTGAAGTGGAAACTTCTAGAAGCAACAACGTCTAGGCCACACAAGCTCACAGAACGGGACCGCCGAGTGCTGAAGCGTGTAGCGCGTAAAAATCGTCTGTCCTTGGTTGCAACAGTCACTATTGAGTTCAAAACTGCCTCTGGAAGCAACGTCAGCACAAGAACTGTTCGTCAGGAGCTTCATGAAATGGGTTTCCATGGCCGAGCAGCCGCACACAAGCCTAAGATCACCATGCGCAATGCCAAGCGTCGGCTGGAGTGGTGTAAAGCTCGCCGCCATTGGACTCTGGAGCAGTGGAAACGTGTTCTCTGGAGTGATAAATCACGCTTCACCATCTGGCAGTCCAACTGACGAATCTGGGTTTGGCGGATGCCAGGAGAACGCTACCTGCCCCAATGCATATTGCCAACTGTAAAGGGAGGAGGAATAATGGTCTGGGGCTGTTTTTCATGGTTCAGGCTAGGCCCCTTAGTTCCAGTGAAGGGAAATCTTAACGCTACAGCATACAATGACATTCTAGACGATTCTGTGCTTACAACTTTGTGGCAACAGTTTGGGCAAGGCCCTTCCCTGTTTCAGCATGACAATGCCCCCGTGCACAAAGCGAGGTCCATTCAGAAATGGTTTGTCAAGATCGGTTTGGAAGAACTTGACTGGCCTTCACAGAGCCCTGACCTCAACCCCATCGAACACCTTTGGGATGAATTGGAACACCGACTGGGAGCCAGGCCTAATCGCCCAACATCAGTGTGTGACCTCACTAATGCTCTTGTGGCTGAATGGAAGCAAGTCCCCACAGCAATGTTCCAAAATCGAGTGAAAAGCCTTCCCAGAAGAGTGGAGGCTGTTAAAGCAGCAAAAGGAGGACCAACTCCATATTAATGCCCATGATTTTGGAATGAGATGTTCGACGAGCAGGTGTCCACATACTTTTGGTCATGTAGTGTATGTATTAAGCCAGGCTAAAGCCAGCTGCCAGCTAGCTACTACTAGCAAGGGAAGGCGACTCTTCCTTATTTTCACAAAATGAAAACACAAAAATAAAAAACGTTCCCATCACCCTCTTGTGAATGGGATCATGTTACCAAAAGGTGTTCACTACTCCAGAAATCCCATTCTACCCATGTGGACGCACGTAGATCAACAGAGTGAAGCTTGTAGTAACCTTTAGGGGGGCTGGTTGAGTGAATAGGGTGGTATGGAGAACGGGAGGAGGAGTGGAGGAGGAGGAATGGAGAAAGAGGAAGATCTTTGCCCATTTCAAATCCTCAGTGAGGGAAGTGTGTGGAGTACAAAAGGGTCACGATGGGCCACCCTACAGACTCTGCAAACAATCCCCCAGATCCACGTGACATTCGGGGGTCTCTATTTACATTTTTCATGACCCTAATAATAAAGATGTAATTTAACATAAAAAATGAATTACCTTTAAATGTGGCATGAACACAACCAGTCCTGATGCTTTCACCTGATTCTCAAACAAATCACTTTAAAAAGTAGGCTACCTGTGCATGTTCGTCCACTCCAAGATAATCCAAACAGTGCAATGCGTGAACACTCGTGCAATTTGATGAATGGAAATAGACAAAACACTAAAAAAAGTGCCTAATGACATTCGGCGATTGCCATTGATTAGGCCTACATTAATTGATACGTCTTGCTGACTAATTGACCTTTTTTGTAGCCTGAAAAGTCGGGACATGTGAAATGGGGCTGAAACTGTCCTGAGAAAAACGGGATTGTCACCCTAACACAGGGTCAATATACTAGACTAGGCTACAATGTGTAGGCCGATTAGCATGAACTTCAAATAGACCTACCAGTAGCCAGTGATGGTGGTAAAATAAATAGCTGGGTAAACTCTGATTGCTGTTCGTTGAATGCTTGGAGTCTTCACAGATCGTGTGACGTAAAACACTACGTTTCTTTCCTTATATTAATTACATTTATGACAGTGTTATTTGTAATTATTACACATTTAACAATTGAATTAGAACATTGAACTTAAACCCTTGTTCGATTCCTGAATCTTCGCAATCTCTGAAAATGCACTGTAAGTGTAACTATGCCTACCTAACATTTCATTAAGTTTTGCAGTGAAAACAGTTCTCATGGGCACATAAATCCAAAATAATGTAGGCCTATGCCATTGCAAAATCGAATGCTTCTAACTGAAAGAGTCAACCATAGGCCTACTGTCATTAATGTTGGATGGATTGGTTGCGCATTGGTGTCTAGCTATAGGCTAGTTGTCTAGTGATATTGGCGACCATCATCAGTTGATCCAGGAAAGAAAACAAATATTGATAGAAAATAATAAAGCTAAATAAATGGTCTACTTCTTCTGGCCATATAGGGCACAGAGAACACCAATACCCTAGCGCACCTGAAAAACAAAGCAATGAGCGCTGTAAACAGCTGACTGACAAAAGCAAACAATGGTAAATCAACGGATAAATAGAATGCATTGGAATAAAGGCATTGGCTATTTTTATCAAGGACGCGTGGCAAACAAATAACCAAAATGAGCAAGTACAAATTACAATCTATGGGTTTAAAGGAGCTCAGCTGTGGCTGAAATGTAGCACTACTGAGTGGACAGCAACATGAACAGGGATACGGTCTGTGCAGCCACATAGAAATAAATGGTTTAAACCATGAGAGAGAGATGGTGATGTTTGTTTAATTTGGAAGGTTTTATTTTCATATTTACCACTGTAAAACATATTTACCACTGCATTTTAAACAAATAGAAGTATGGTTAAATTAGCATTATTTAGAGACCCTCACCGCAAAGTTTGACTTTTGTTGCATTTAGGGGAACTAACGTCTCATTCAGGGGAGCTGAGTTAGTTTTCTAAGGCAGGAGGTCAAGGGGCCTGGGCTCAGTGGA